GCTTAGGATCGAATCAGGAATTGTGAGGAATTTGAGCAACCAAAGATTTGCAGAGTTTCACTACTAGGACTGAGCCAGGAAGCTGAGAGGAGAAATCAGTTGCCCATATTGCGAATGTTGAGTCAGATTTTGTTCAACGGGATTTTTGGGGGTTCGAACTTGACATAAATCATGGTACCGAAAACAGTGGGGGGGGGTCGTGTTTAAGCCGGGGAAAATTGACATAATTCAGACTACCGATATTAAACCAGGTGCAACATTACATCTCTCTCTATCTCTCTATATATATACATATACATACAGTGAGATATGGACACACAAGTCTCTGCTGGCTGCTCCATCTCACGCTGGATCTTGCTCAGGCTCCATCAAGATCGACTGAGCCTCTCTAAGACGGGGTGGGCGCCGCGACCCCGGTGAAAAGGGGGCCGTCCCAAAGTGGGCATGCGGTATGGATATGAGGTTCGGTCAAAACGTCCAGCCTATGGTTCAGAAACTTCAACGCACTCAAAGAGTAATTTTCAGTGTAGTTGTGGTTGACTAGCAGGGTGGCTTGGCAATTTGGCGGCAGTATGTCATGCCAAGCCAATTAATAAGAGCAGAAGAGTAGAAGATGTTGGCTGGGCCATTGCTGGATGTTGGCGGCTCGTGGGATGCGACAGGGCCGAGGAATTTGGCACGGGTGGAAGCACCAGCCGCCTCTATGGCCGTCGAGCGCAGAGTTGTCGGCACCGCCTTGGCACTGAACAGCCCTGACCTGCGGGTTTTTCTGAGAGCCGGGAAGAGGGGTTGCGTGGTTTGCGATGGGCCGAGGTTGCTCCAGAGATGGTCGGTTCGTTTGCTTGGTGGAAGCTTACAGCGTAGGGTGTCAGGGAGGGGGGGAGCCGACCATATATTGTGGATCAGATCTCTGGTAGAGAGCCTCTTTGGCAGTGTTTCATGAATGAGTGCATACAATTTGGCTTGATCAGCACCATGAGAGCTCAATGCCCAGCAAAACACATCACTTGTGGTCAAAGCGCAGCTTGGCCATGTTTGCCTTTGGCTCAACGGTTCTAAGGTTTTACCAGCCACTGGTGTCTGGTGCATGGATGAACACCCATAGACTGAGTGTCTGCTTGCCAGTGCCTCGTGAGTAGAAGGATTGAGTTGCTGAGCATGCAGTCCAGCAACTATAACAGAATGCATGCGGAAAAAGCCGGGCGCCGGAGCCCAGGCAGTGGATGCATTGCTTTGCAGCGTGTTCTTGTTGCAAAACGCGGCGGTCCTTTTCAACAGACACGGACATCTATGCCTTCATTGGAGCATTGTATTGCCTCAGTGTGCAGAACCGGGAGATGCATGTTGCTCTTGTGAAGGCAATCCGAAGCAAGGCAGAGACCTTGCTCTTGGTATCCTTGTCGGATAGTCCACTTGGGAACCAGGACGCATAGCATTCTGATCGGAAACATGATCCAAGTTGGCTTTACAAAGGCTCGCATGCGGCATTGAGTTTTTGGCAAGAACAATACAAGGTGCGGTTGGAGGCCAGGCAGGAGGACGACCGTTCCAGTAGGTGCTAGTTGCCTCGCAAGCGATTGACCATCACTATCTCACACAGGCTGAAGGGTAGCATCCGGATTCTTAGTTCTGCTGAGCACTTTTCAGTTTTTTGTATCGAATTCCATCATCTCCCACGCAACCCTTTTTGACCAGGACAATGTCAGCGTTGTACCATCCTGGTTTGAATGTGTTTTATGATTTGATATTCATTCATTGAGACGTGGGCTGCAGAAGCAGTGGACACATTCTTTACCCTTTTCTGGGTCCTCAATCATACGCGGAGGGCGTGCTAGCGTGAGTTGCCCATTTGAAGGAACGCTCGTTCAAGAAAGGACATCTCAGGGAGACCTGTTTAAGCCCAGAGCCAATCCAGAGTTTAATCCGAGGCCTTTGTAAAAAAACCTTTGATATGCTTTTAATGTACCATGATGCATTCTGCGAATTACGCGGGAGCATGCCTTCGTTTCAGATGTCCTCTGCAAGTTTGACTTCCGAACCTGGCTCGCTCATGCAGACACCAACACATGGCAGGAACCCCATCGCATGGCAACAAAGGCACAGTGGTCCAACAGCGTGGTCAAACACCAGACACACACGCACACACACGGAGCGCCACAAGCGATCCAGCATCTCAGCAAAAGTAGCAGCGAAGCCTTCTGTGACAGCCGCAAAGTTGTCGGGCATGGCACGTATGCAGTCAGGGGACCCAGGGAGCAGAGGCCTGAACACGCGGCAAGCGGTGTGTAATGTAGTGCCCTGCGAGGCAAAGCCTGGGTCCAACTTTCTGCGGGAAACTTGATGGGTTGTGTCAGTTCTAGCAGACAGGGTTGACATTGCCAATCCTGTTGACCCAAGGCTGCGGTACCCCACCGCACTGAACCTGCCGGCGTCCGATGCAGGATGGGCGTGGCAAGCTTATGCCATCCAATCTCACCGGAGAATCTGATTTGTTGAAATCTCACTGTGCAATGTCCTTATCTTATGGGAGGGGCCGAGTGGTGGGGGTTGCCCGTTGAATTCATCGATGAAATTTGTGAATGTGAATAATAAGCCCCCACCCCTTCCAAGTGAAGTGTCTCGGACTTGGTCCACGGGTGGCAGCATCAATTTCCTGGCCCTTGGCTTGGCCATGGCTGACCCGTACAGAACTAATCCTGATATTTACATCATGCCCCACTTGTTCATTGCCGTAATACTATGAATTTCCGGCTGGCGCCCTTCAACCCGCCCTTGGCGACGTTGACGTTGGTATAAGAATGGGGCCAGTACACGATGCAGGACCAGGTGACTCCGAGGAGGGTGTCTCCATCGATCGTTGGGATGCCCAGTTTAAGATGCGCAGCAGCACAGGCGATTCCTCACTGTGACTTCAAATAAATTCCCTGAAGTGTGAGAGAGAAACACTCTGGTCGTTGCACATTGAACCACCAATAATAGGTTAGATTAAGGCATGCCGGTGACATCGCCTATGCATGCCAGCCTCATTCATGAGGGGTTTCTGCAGACCACATCGATTAATGCACAGAGCAAACAGGTGGTTACCAGCGACGATCTTACAATGAATAGCAATTCATGCCAGAATAAACGATGTGCCTCGGCATGCTAAAGGTGCAGAGACTCACTGTTATTGGTCAATTCTTTGGATCTTAGCGTTTCTCTGCTTCCCTTCAAAGTGGACACCAGCCAAAGAGACGCCTGCTAGAACTTGCGCATGTTTCGCACCCTGTGGGTTTTTCGGGAATGCTTACGAGTGACATGTTTGGCCGAAGGCCGGCTCTTCCGGCGCCTGAAGAAAGCGAAGGCGGCTTCCTTGCGCGTGGAAGGGGCGTGGAAGGGGCGGGGGTTCCTTAGGGACGTGTTTGTCGCAAGGCTGGCACATCAGCGCAAGCTGGTGGAAATCAAGTTCTCTGGAGATGTGCTTGTGGCAAATGGGGGGGGATGGTCTTGGGTTTGCCATTTGAGCCACAATCAAAACCCGGATAGATGAAGGTTAGTAAGGGGCAGTCCCAGCCGGAAAATAGTTGCGGCCGCCTTTCTAATTTTTTACGTGGTTCTGGGTTCACCATTTTTGTATCAGGTTTTGATTGACTCATTTTCTGTTTTACTCTTGGCCAACTTGGGTCACAGTCCAGGGGTGCTCCGAACCTACGATCAAGACTTCTGGGTAGAAAAATCGGAGTAGGTTCCTTCGTTGGCCGTTCATCAGGGACCAGCTTTCTACTCTTGTGCTTAGGTGCTGGGAACAGCTGCCGTCAGGGATATTTTTTTGTTTGAGCTTTCGTGAGACATTAGTCTTGCGCAAGCAGGAGAGGGCCAGAGTGGATTTCCCAAAGATTGAACGTGAGCCCAATTAAATTGTGAAACGCAAGGCATAATCTAAAGTATACTTGCCCACACATGTTGCTGTCCGTATCTACAACAAACCCACGCTGATTGTGACGCAAAGCAATTCAGAATGATTAATAGACCCTACCCCAGAATTCAGAAATGCAACGCCAGTTTTTGAAACCCCTCCGACTGGGCGATGAGTTCTTTGCAACAGAGAGGAGGGGCCTTCTCTGACAAGTCAAATGATATTGACCTTGCTGACTCAAAACATAGAGCTGGCAGACACAGCGTCATCACTGTCGACCCCTGATTCAAGGATTCCTCGTTTAGCATGCTTTGATTGATAGCTTGAGAACAACGCACGCCCACTCAAGTTGTGGATGCAGTCTCGCTCAACCTGTTTTTTTTTGCTGCATATCTTGTACTCAGTGACGTCCGAAGCGTAGTCCTGCCGACACTGGACAACGGGCTGCACTTTTGCAAGTCGCAAAAGCAGGGCACCCCTCTGAATGGTTGGCGTTTGTGGGGTTTGTCTTACCCAACCCAAGCCTTAAGCCTTGGGACAGCTTCTTTCTGCATGTTGCGGATGCTCGTCGGAGGGCACTACACCTCAGGGTCTGGAGGAGGACTGGGCACGGAGCGCAATGCGACAGGTCGGGCCACACATGCTGATTTGCAGGCCATGACAGGCAGTTGAGTTGGACGACTCCGTTTCCTGCCGTCCCATTCCTCAAACCTTGAAGCTCCGCCCTCGCCTTCCAAAGAAAGCTACGCAGGGCTTTTCATGCAACGTGTCTGCAATTTACTCTGAGGCGAGGCAGATCAACAACCGCTTCACAATGCTTTGATGCATTCTTGTCACAGCTTTAAGGCAGCTCTTGCGTTGTATGCTCAGACCAGCTTCTAGTCTGATGGGCATGAACTGGGCTCAAATTTGGGGTTTCATTTTAGTCGGAAACCCTGTAGCCTTTGTTGGAATCATCTACATAGGGATGGAATCCACCTTTTTTGGAGGGGGTTCCAATTCAAAATTCCTGGCTATTTGGCAACGCCAGCCTCCGGCTCGAATCACAATCGCGCTAAGAACCAGAGAACTCTGTGTCAGGGTCACTGATAAAAAGAGAGGCCAAGACGGCCACTAGTCACCAAAGACTTTCGCTTCAGCTTCACCTGCTCGGGTAAATGGCGGGCTACGCAGCCGAGGCGCATGGGGATGGCCTCTCATGTTGACTAGAGCCCTTCCAAGTTGATCGAAAGGGCCATAGGCCAGCTGGTCTCCGCGCAGGGAGAGGCTCGCAGCTTCAGACTTGCCCCCGCGGCAAATGGAATCGCGGTTGGGGCCCTGAGCCAAGAAACGTGGCAGACCATGAGACTACCATGCCGGCGTGAATTTCCATCGTTTCTGCTTCCGGTTGGGGATGGCTCAATTGCACAATTGCACGCGCGACAGGCCCCGAGCCCCGCGGAGGAGGAGGCGCCTTGCGCGGAAAAACTGCGACCATCGCAAACGACCAAAATTGAAGACCATCCCATGATGAGACTTCTTAAGTCCTTTACTTTAGGATTTCTTGGTTGCAGTTTGTGAATGATAGTAATTTGTGCAGATGAATCCCTAAAGTGAACGTGACCAGTCGGCCGTTTGCGTGGGGTTCCTTTTGCTTGCAGAGGGCAGGACGGGGGAGTCTCGTGTTTAACAACCATATTTTGCAAGAGAAAATGCGCCAGTCCCTGGTTGGGGGTGCCTTGTGGCACGGACCCCTCGCCACTTGTGCCTGTTGCTCGCTGCTCGCTGCTGCTTCTGCTGCTGCCGCTGCCAGCTGGTTCTTACGCGCATCATCAGCGCCTCAAACTCCAAGTATGTTCCTTTTGTGTAGAGTTGCTCAACGGGCACGTCCTCAGAAACAATGGCTAGCCTAATGATGTGCGGCTTCGCGAAAGCTCATGAGCCTTGCAACCTGGAAACAACTGCGCGTGCTTTTGGGTACGTGCCAGGCAAAATATCCGACGCACCTCCAGTTTGAGAAGGGAAGCCGCCGTTTGTCAGCCAGCCCCACGGCCCCCAGGATGACTTCGAGCTGGCGGACGCGAACCTGACGGCGGACGCCAACGTGCCGTCGGAAGGCTTCCGGAAATGCCAGCGTGAAGGCGCGGCAGCCAGGAGTTAGCGAAGTGCCGAAGGAACTGTATTGGAGCCTTGGGCTTTTTTTGAGGGCAATCTGCCAGTCAAAGCAACGTCACGTCTACAGAATGAGACTTGTTGCTGTCAAAATCACCCAGCATGAACCAGCGTTAGTATGCAGGCTTGGCCTATCTAGGCGAAAACATCCGATGGTTGCAGGCGTTGCCATTCCAGAACGTTGGGGCCACAAAGTCACAACAGCACAAGTCAGCACTTTAATCATCCTCGAGCACACAGGAGAGGTGCCATTGGAAGATGGCGAGACGTGGCCTGTAGCCTCGTTTTGTTGGTTTTATTCTCGCAATCCCGGCCAAATCCCCAGGCGCGTCGGCATTGTGGCAGGCTTTCCTGCACTACGTTTTTATGCCTGGTGTCCCTGTGGCTTCCCTTGAAACTGGCCTGAAAAAGGCAGCCTTAAAATCGCAGACACAAAGCTGGGTTGCGCAAAAGATGGAGAGGAGAGGTTGCAAGGTTGAAAGCTTGTGTAGGGCCAAAAGGGTTCAGAGGTCTGCCCAAAGAGTCTTTTTCGGCCCAGACACGCGCAGATGTATCGGTAAATCTTCCTTGGCCGCAGCAACTGCACCTAGGGACTGGCCAACATATCCAGAGTGCGCCCTCTTTAGGGTAGCGGGTTCAACGTCGAATTTGAGTGGATTGGGGTGGTTTTTGCTGTTGCGGGCTTTTACCGGCTTTTAAGGGTTTGACGGACTTCGCAAACAGCCTCATGGCACTGTGTGAGGTTAGGCCCACATACATTTGGTTAAAATTGCACCTCCTTCGTCCCACCCCTTAAGGTAGGGGGCAGGCAAAAACCCTTTTCAGCAACCCCAGTCCAGCGACGCAGCTGACCCAAACTCTTGGTGCATGTTGCACCTATCATGAACTCTACCTCACACCCTGCCCCATTTCGAAGCTATGCCAGGCTGCTCCTTCGCTGTGACGTGGCATGCCACCCACTGCTGCGGCGCCCTGGCTGGGAAGTGACTTGCGGAAAGCCTGGTTTTCCGCTACCCTGGCTATGGATTTGGAGCCGGACACGAGCGTCTTAAGTCATTGCCTCAATAGTTGGGTGTAATTCGACACCGCCCAAATTTGATTGGCCACGTCGGGCATGACAGCCGTTGCCAGTATCGTATATACCGTATCGGTACTTTGGCTTTGTCACCTTGTAGACCAAACTGGTGTTTGCAGGGTACTTGTTGTTGGTGCTCGAATGCCCATCGCCGGAAATGTGGCTTCACGTGAGCTTCTTGACAGCCATCAAGCAAGATAAAAGTCGACCTGGCAGCGTTCAAACAGGTACAGGTATCACAAGTGCGATAATTCTATATCATTTTTGATTGGGGACCCTCTGGTGACGGTGATCATCTATATGGGGCTCTTTGCCCACCAGTCTGTTTGTTTCCCCAGATAGCTTTAGCTATGCAAATTCTTATTTCTAAAAACGTGGGGGCTGCGGATGCTAGTGAGGGGGCTGGTCAGTGGTCAGGGTGCTGAAGTCAGGGTGCTGCCTGGCGGTGCTTGTCAGTCAGGGTGTTGGTGCTTGTCAACAAGGTGCTGGTCAGTGTGCTGTTCAGGGTGCTGGTGGTGACTGTGCGTGAAAATGTACGGTAGCATGAGGTATTGTTCGCTTGTCGAAGTAAGTGAAATGCTCTAACAAGCACGCGCTCGAGCGTGTAAAAGTACAGGCCGCTATCAGAAGCGCCGCCCAAACTATGCAGTCTTGTCCGCGCGCATAAAAGTGTATGCTGTGGCTCAATGCACTGGTTCCTGCAATGCAGCATGCGCCGCTGCAAAGGTGTAGCTTTCGCGTCCAAGTATATGGCGGCGTAAGAAAATGAGAGGTGCTGTTGAGCAATAGGCCTCAGGCTGTGCTAGCTTTTCTGTCCACGCGGATGAACATGTACGTTGGTGGGCTCTTAGGCGTAAATGCGATACTGTAGCAGGTCTGTGTCCGCGCGAGTAGAAGTATACGCCGTGGCGCAGGTGCTGTGCAATGCTGCGGTCCTTGATGTACATGCCGGTATGAGAGGCACTGATCGCTTGTCGCAATAGAAGTAGTATTGTTGTCAGCATGCGCCGCGCATACAAGTATACGCCGGCATACATATTCGAGGTGCTAATGGATGGATGGATCTGAGGGTAGTGCTGTAGTGGTTACGCTGTCTCATGCGTGAAAACGTACGGTAGCATGAGAAGTGTTGTTTGCTTGTCGAAGTAAGTGAAATGTTATAGCAGACACGTAAAGTACATGCCGGTATCAGAAGTACTGATGCAGTTTTATCCGCGCGCAAAAGTGTACGCTGTGGTGCAATGTAGTGGCTGCTGTGCTATTTGGGGTCTATGCTGGTGTATTTTTGTTGTTTTTGGTTGTTTTTGGGGGTCCTATTGAAATTCAACGGTCCAAATGTCAACATCGGAAATTTTAGAAGCCCCAAGTTAGGGTCCTCCGAAGTTGACATGAGGGGAACCGTTCGACTCAGACGCCGCGGCGCCGTTTTTCGGTAGGCCGCTGCGCACATTCCGGGCTCCATGGCCCCCACTGCGAGCAGCGGGGCAAAGATGCGGCGGCTGCGGCGCCGGCGCGGCGGCGATGCAGCGGCAAGGCGAGGGGTTTAGACGATGTGAAACAACGTTGACCCCGGATGAACAAACCCCTGTTTATTGAGCTGGGGGTGTCCCTGGTTTTAGTGGGGATTCATCACTTTTGGAGGGGAACACCCCCATATGAATAAACAGGGGGTTATTAATCCGGGGGACCTTGAAAGGGCAAGTGACATCCTCGAAGGTTAAATGACGGGAAACTGATGTCCACAGGGAAAGGAACAATTATGCGAATGTGTCAACAACTAGGCGCCATTTTAGGGTTTGCTTTTTCGTTTGGGGGGAGGCCAGTTTCAAGAGGGAATTAACATGAATGCCAACCATTGTGGAGGGATCCCTAGTTCTGACACATCTACATCCGGTTTGGAGGAAGTAGAGGGCTTTGCAAAATGACAGTGGTTCCGTTTAATGTTTTGCGCGAATAGAACTCCCCAAATCCCCTGATCATGATGACATTCAGCACTGCCTCTGTTTTTCTGACCAGCAAGCTGGAAGGCCGAGAAGGAGCTTCCAAGCGGTTGATTTTCAAATTGGCATCACGGATTTTTCCTGTGTGAGCTGATAGCAGTCACGTGTGGTATTGTAGGCTTTGGGCTAAGTTTGCTGTTTTTTTTCAACATCGGCCTCCACAAAGCAAGCTGCATGTCGGTTTCCCTGGCGGGAGCAGTGGTCGCAAGAATGGTTGTCGGAAATCGGGTCACTTTCTATGAGGAGGAATTCGCCTAGCAGTCATAGGGATGGCCGACTTTGGTATCACAGAAAGACCAAATTCTCTGCAACGAGGAGGGACCCAGCGACCCCCTGTGAGGATGGGTCCAACTTAGTTTTCAACCAACATGAGAAAGCCTTTTCCAGAGTTTCACCTGTTTAGCCCTGGGTTTAAGTCTTTGGGGCAAAGACACGGAGCCCTGACTCCCGACGAGGGGTTGCTCGGTTCGCGCGTTCGTTGAATTGCCCAGGGCTGCAGCTACCAGGCAACCTGGCATCCAAACTTTTGCTGCCACGCCTGTCCTCAGGGCAAAGGCGAGGAAACGGCAACAGTTCCAAAGCGAGCCAACCGCTATGGAATCTGACTGGGGTGCCTGGAAGACAACTTTTTTGTGTCAGGCTCCATGTTATTTCGCGGGATGTGATGAAACGATTTGGAAGAGACGAAAACAACGACCTGAAAAAGTCCTACGAAATAGCGGGGGTTGACAACCCCCTGATGGGTCTGCAATAATCAAGGATGAATCCTGAGGAGCAGAACTAGTCCAAGGAATTCACTCAGCATGAATGCATTCCTCGCAGCAGTGTGTGTCTGCTTTCTTCGCGTGTCAGTGTGAGCCAGTGTGTCGCATCTTGGAGCCCCTCTCAAACTTAGTTTGCCAAACTTAACAGAGATCTCTCCCTACCCCGGACCGCAAATGCCCCTTGCTGATTGGGCGGTTTCTGAAGCTGCTAGCTGTCCTTTCCTGTCCGACTGCCAGTTTGTCGCTGCTCCCCTCAGGCGGATATACTCACGCACATTTACAGCCCAGTGTCGAGCTGCTCAGTGTTTCACATGCTCAGAAAGACTTTGCAAGGCATATGTTTTTTGGGGTGTTATGTCACGTAGCAAGTTCATTGGCCTACTCCAAGATGGCAAAGGGAGATGCGTGTACCCTGATCGTGCATGGCAGTGATTCACAAAGCATTGTTTCTTTCCTCAAGTGGTATGGCCACATCCAGGTGGACCATACAAACACTTACTCACACACCGTTGCTTGAAGGCCATGCACATAAAAGCACACGGAGGTTGCTTGAACTTGAGCACCCCCGCAATGGCTTTGCCTTTGTCTTACTTTGTCTTACTTTGGAAGACAAGAGGAAAGGGTGAGGTACTTCCCTGCATCCCAGGAAGCACCTTTTGTTGTAGGCTCGGCACATGGGGCACACCGAAGTCAGACCGGTTTCCATGTCCGGAACATGGTTTTGTCCCAGCCTCAAAACCGGGCTTCCTTTAGTTCTATAGGGACCCACAGAAATGAGATAGAGCAAGTGTCCTTTTGCTCGGTGCAGGTAAGGAAAACAACAAACATCGACTCGCATTCTTTTTGCTTTCGAAAGGGTCACCTGGTCTTCGGAAGGCCACGGGGGCAAGTGCGAGCAGCAGAGCTTTCGCGCCGGGAGCTGCGCTTTGGCCGAAGTCGGCTTTGTGCGAACAGGGTTAGGAGACAGTTGGGCCAGTCAAATCGGGCACCTGATTTAGAGGATCTTTCGGTAAAGCAGGTGGTTTTCGGGTGTAAGGAACCCTGGTGAAGGTGGATGGCTGGAGTTTCAAGGCGATTTGGTTACCCCATGTTGGGTGTAGCCCTAGGGTTGGGCGCCCCACTTTCAATTGACCTTTGCCAAAGCGAAAGGTTTTACTAAGCCTTGAGTTGAGAGAACTTGAGACAGTGAGTTGTGGATCCAGCCCTTCCACTCGTGCGGCCGTGCGGGAAACAAACTGTCGTCTGTGAGAGATGGACCTCGCTGAACAACTTTCTGACCCTGGTCCAACCTGTCCTGCGTGAAAACAAGACAGCTGCGCAAACCCACGCATATATGAGTTGAACGATCATTTGGATGGATGCGGGTTGTTCCAGCATTGGCTCACCATGCTCACCCATCAGGGAGTCTGTTTCTCCATGATAGGGCACGGTTGTTTATCAGGTTCTTTTCGTTTGGACTCGTACGGCCATCAACCCCACGGCAAGTGCATGGATGGCAATGTTTCTTTTATGTTGTGCTTTTGAGAGATGCCCCCCTTCCACAGCTTCCATTGCTTCAAGCATTGTCTTCTCATTTGATGTCGAACTATGTGAAAGCTCGCAATTGTTCGTTTTCGACAAGCTTTTTGGATCATTGCTGGTTACAATCCTGGCTACTAATCCCTACTTTGGGCGAGAGAATGCACCAAACAGTTTTCCCTCAAGGACGCTTCAATCTGACCAAAGCCAACTTTTGACCGTTTGAGAAAGACTAAGCAAACGAGACAAAGTTGATCTGCAATTCTTCTGATTCCAATGCATTGCTTCGAGGTGCAAGTCCTGGGTGCAAGTTTCAGGTGACTTGGCATGCCACCCACTGCTGCCAGGCTGGGTGTCTCGAAGATGCAGTTCATATCAATATTTGGGCAAATTACGCCACACAAAGAGCATACTGAGGAAGGTTCCTTGGGGAAACCTGATCCCAGATCTGTGACTCGGCTGACTTCCAGGGTGTCATTTGTTCGAGCCTTTTACGCCAACTCTCTGAACCCTGAGCAGGTTGAGAACTGTTGCATGCTTGCTGTAGCCCTTTCACAAGCGGCCCTCCTTTCCCTAAGCCCCTGCCCTCACAGGGGGGAACACGGGAATGGCAATGGGAAGCTAACACTCACCTCTGAGCTGTCCTCGGTTTCGACCCACAGACCCGCGATACGAAGGGAATCCCTCTGTGAAGTCGGAGGGATGGCCCACGTTCGCATCAGGGAAGGCACATGGGTGTGGCTCCAAATTCAAGACCTAGGGTTAGGAAAGCTTTAGTCTACGTTTCCATTTAATTTACCAGGGGAACAAAATGTTTGGGCCCTTTTGTTTGAGCCACAGCCACACGTCCCAGCAGCAGGTGTGCCTGGACCGCCCTGGGCACCACGGGCCCCACTGCAGCCGCGTGGACTTCTCCAGGCTCGCGCTGGCTTCGGTGGGCAAAGTTAGCCTCCCACCAATTGACATGGAAGCTGACAGGAGGGTCCTGGAAGACCAATTTTCCTTTCAAAGGGACCCCCTGTCAGGTTCCATGTTAATTGGTGGGACGGTAGTGCATGTTGGGGCAGATGTTTGAGTTGCCGGGGATGGCAGCTACGGTTCTTGACCAGATGTAGTTGCCACATGTTTCAGACGCGCGCGCGCGTGATGGAACATGGGCCATGCAGAAGCTCGACCCTTAAGACCCACGGTTGCAGGAGTTTGGTGGTTTTTAGGGCAACTTTCTGTGATATCAGGGGAGCTTCCTGCGAAGTGATAAAGTAGTCATGGGGATGCACAAATTAGAGTATTACAGAATTGGTGAGTTTCGTCAACCATGCTGAGGCTCGACGGTAGAAACACGGCTGGCAGGACACCATGCACTCGCTTCATCCCTGCATGCCTTTCGGTTCCCTTTCCGACGCATTCTGACCAGTCGAACACCTCTTGTAGTGGGCACCCGGCTGTAGGTTTGCACAAACCAAAACGTGTCGCGGCACCTGGTCAAGCATCCTGCAGCCCATTTTGTGCCACTCCTTGCATTTCTTATCTTTTTGTGCCAAGCCAGTTGTGACCTGTACTTTGTTGTGAGTTGCGCTCCCGTCCACTTAGCGTGGGTTTGCTTTGATCAATGTCTGTGTGTGTGTGTGCGCGCTGTGTGTGTGTGTGTGTGTGTGTGTGTGTCTGTGTGTGTGTCTGTGTCTGCGTCTGCGTCTGCGTCTGTGTCTGTGTCTGTGTCTGTGTCTGTGTCTGTGTCTGTGTCTGTGTCTGTGTCTGTGTCTGTGTCTGTGTCTGTGTCTGTGTCTGTGTCTGTGTCTGTGTCTGTGTCTGTGTCTGTGTCTGTGTCTGTGTCTGTGTCTGTGTCTGTGTCTGTGTCTGTCTGTGTGTCTGTCTGTGTGTCTGTGTCTGTGTGTCTGTGTCTGTGTGTCTGTGTCTGTGTGTCTGTGTCTGTGTGTCTGTGTCTGTGTGTCTGTGTCTGTGTCTGTGTCTGTGTCTGTGTCTGTGTCTGTGTGTGTTTGCGCGTGTGCGCGTTTGCGCAGGTGCGCTTGCGCTTGCGCGCGTACGTACGTGCGTGCGTGCGTGCGTGGGTGGGTGGGTAGGTGGGTGGGTGGGTGGGTGCGTGGGTGGGTGGGTGTCTGTGTGTGTCTGTGTGTGTCTGTGTGTGTGTGTGTTTGTCTGTGAAGTTGCGTGTGAACGGGGTATTGGGTTCTGCAATAGCTCGCACTGGGAATACCGACTTCGACTCCTCCAACTATCTCAAGACATATCAAGCCGGACAAGAGCTATACATCTCCCGTTTTTCGTGGTTGACATCACCAGCGCACCAGCGGGCCCATGTAAAGTGAGTGTTTCCTGGAGGGGTGATGCAGTAGGAACTAGAGATGTTCTGCCAAACGATCTTGCAGGTTCGACCTGCCCGGCCGCTCACGCCTGGAGGATTGTAAGCCCAGCGACGCTTTGGCCCGGTTTTGGGGGCGCTGTCGCTTCGTGGGTGTGTCTCAAAATGAGAGCTCAGTTAGGGTTGCGCAGGTTTTAGTTTTTGTTTCTATTTTCCCAGGTTTTTGGTTTTGTGACACAGCCAAGTGGCAGTTGACCAAAACGGACTGAGAAAGCAGGACAAGTAGGTGGGCCTCGGCAGGCGCACATGAACTTTGCAGTTGTCTGTTTGGCACTTTGGTCGAACCAAGGCCGGCAAGTGAGCATCATGTGTTTGTTTGTTTGTGTGTTTGTTTGTGTGTGTTTGTGCTGAGTCCCTGATGTACCCAGGGACCGAACGTTTTTTCAGCAGGCAGCCAGAAAAGTATGCAGGCGGCTGCCTGAGAAGACCCCGCAGAGTTTTTTTCGTGAAAACGTACAGGAGCTGCTTTTGGGGCCCGTGGGTATGCAGAATTCCTGACATTGTTTGCTTTCTGGGTGGCAGAAACCTCACAGTTTATGAATTGGTTGGTTTTCCTTTTGCTGGGGAGATGTTTAAATTTAGGACAGATAAGGAACCATGACGGCTTTTTGTGGCTGACTCACTTCTCAGGATCAGGGCGGCAGCTTTCCGGACCTTCAGTTTGCGGAGGCATGGGGCGTTCAGAGATTGGGAATCCCCAAACTGGATGTTTCCCTTTAAAGCATCCTCAAAAAGGTTGCCCTGGTACCCTTCAACAAAGATACCGCCTGGACAGACGCAGGTTCAGACTTTGGTTCTAGGCAAGGAAACAAAAAGGTTTAGGGGATGAAGTGGAAGGGAGCGGTTCCTCATGCCCTGTCCATCGCAGCTCGTTCGTGTCTTGTGATGGCCACGAACGGAGCTCATGTCGGCCTTTGGGCGCAGCTTCACACGCTCCAGAGCCCATCATCGATTCTGCCGGGACAAAACAAAGGATGCTATGCTGATGTTACAATAGGTGACCAAGAGCCAAAACGAAGGACACCTACAGTGATGGACCAAGGCAAAAACAAAAAGGGTTTACAGTTTTGACACACACACACACACACACGCGGTTGCAGAAGGCTGGATTTTGCGTCGCGACTTTCTTTGGATTCTAAGGGACTCCCCTTGAAAGTGCTTAAAGTCATCATGAGCTCTGCGTAGCCCATGTTGTCACAGAAACAGGTCCTACTTTCCGCAATCATGCACACACACACACACATGGCCATGGTCGATACACCCTTTCACTTGAGGGTAGTAGGGATGGTCATCAACCCTGTAGCGGGAAATTCAGAAAATCACTATTAGGGCTGTGACATGCCCCATATACTCATTGCGAGCTTTGACCATGGTACATTCGTTTGGGGCGTTCAAAATGGCGGAAACCTACAAATGGGTGGAATAAAATCACCCTTCTTCACATTTTCCGCAAGAAAGTCATCCCCTCCCAGCCAAACGTGGTGCACAGAGCTCTTGTGGCTTGTGGGGCCTCCAAGGGTGGCCAAGGCGCAGGTGCTGGGCAAAAGGGTGCCGCTCTGCCTGGATCTTTGGCTCCCCGAGGGCAAAGGCCCCTTCCCGTGCCTTGGCCAGGGGTTCTCAGATGGGAATTTTGCGAGTTTCCTTTTGAAACTTTTGGGTTTCTTCTTGGGGGGGAGGGGGTAATGACTTTGGGATTGAACTTTTAAAAACCACCCAGAAAACACGTACCCAGGTTGTAATGCCATGCACTACCTCTCGGCTTTGGGGTGGGGGGGCGCAGAACACGAAACTTGCCGGGCCTTTTGGAAAATAACCCATATCTCGTTTTGGGATCAGGCCCCCCCTTTTCATTTTTCATTGGCCCACAGATTTCTTGGGTGGTCTACCGAAAGGCTTTCCCTCGTTCGGTTGCTCCTCCTCTTTCCTCATGGGCTTTGGCGGTGGCAGGGGCCACCTGGATTGGCGGGGCTCAAGCAACCTGCAGCGGTCGTTTGGACCACAGCTCCACCAAGCAACCCCCAACCGCCAAGAAAGTGAGTCACTCGAGGCACAGCATTTAAGGCTCTGCCTGGCAGGTCACCGGATAGAATGTGAGTTTCTGCAATCCACCAGGCCCTATCGAGGTGGTTCGTCTCCTTATCCGAAAAGGGGGATTCGTGTATTGATGAACCAAGGAGGCATCTGAATCCCTGTTCGGTTCATGCTCAAGGCTCTCACCCTCGTGTGATGCTGGAGGTCTAAACCAGGCAGCCCCGTTGCACCCCGGATTCTGAAAATGCGACTCCAAAAGAATGACTTGCAAGGCTGAAAGCAAACAAAGTCAAGAGGCTTTTACGCTCTGACAGTGGGATTGACACTGGCAACCATAATGCAGGCTGAGCCGACTGAAATACGGTTTTTGAGAGCCAATGAACATGACTGACCCCACGTGAGATAAACGAATTCTGTCCAAAAGGTGAAGCTAGGTGCCTGATCTTCGTGCACGGGGGCGCTTGGCGCCTGGGCACCCACAAGACCTTCCTGACCTGCAAGTGGAGCGCCTCGGAACTAAGTGTGGCGACCTGCCCGGCCGGGTTTGACCCAGAACCCTCGTGGGTTTCATTGGGCCGGTCCTATGGGGGGGTCCCCTGATTTTGGTTGAGCTGTCAGCGCCCCCGGAAAGCTGGGCAAGGTTTGGCCGAATCGCAGTTGGGCCAGCTGCATTTCCAGCTGCAAGGCTGTGAGGGTCCACAGGGGTCTGCAACGCAAGAGTCCTGAGCTCCAGGACCCTGGATCATTTCCAGATGAGCACAGTTTCTGGGTAAGATAAAGGCAGAAGCGGAGTCAGCAAATGAAGTTGGAACCGCCTGACAGTAATTATCCATGTCTTGGTGTGACTTCAAGAAATCCAAGAAGGAAGCCAGCTTTCGGCGATGCGAAATGAATGCAGCGATGCATGGATTTGTGTTGCACCCGTTGTCCAAGAATCATTGCAGATCACAGAAGTACTTTGTGTCGGTATGCAGTGGAAGCAGGAACGTAATAATTCTGTTCCTTCCCGTGAAATGCGGCTTGAGGATGGCAAAAGAAATCAAGTTATTTGAAAAGGTGTAGACTCGCCCATAAAATCTCTAAAGCTTTGCTTCGCTTTGCCATCGGTGATTTGCTTGGCTTCGAGCCTAGCCAATCAAGCCCGAGCTAGCTCAAGGATTAGCTTGGAACAAGAGGACCCTAGCGGAGCTGGGTAGCCAGGATCAATCCTTCGAGTAAATCACTGAACACAAATCTGTCATTGGCTTGAGAGGGTCTTTGTATTTTCCTAGTTGGTTGTCTCGAAATTGGATTTTCAGGTGTGTCTCGAAACTAGGGAAGTAAGCCCAGTCTCTTTTTGGTTTCCTTGGAACCACCATGAGACACTTGACACCCGCTAGGTGAGCTGCTGAAGCCGCTGGGCTTCGCCCTTGCCTCGGTGCGCCTCGGACGACAAGAGCGCCGGGGAGTTTTTTTTTTGGGAAGGGGCAAAAGGGCAAAACCACATGCCGCGAATGGAGGACTCCAAGGTTTTTAATTTTGGTGGGGGTTCCCATTTTTCAGACATGCGCAGAAGCCCGGGTTTTGTTTTCCGATTGCAAGGAACCTGACGTCACCGACAGGGACACATGTTTGAACCTAGGGGCTTTTGTCAAGTGTTTGTTTGTTTTTTGAGGGGGGGTTGATGGGATGGCTATTGCGGTGGTTCCATCTGGTCTAACCTGTTTTTTTACAACACAAGCAAGTAGAAAGAGTGTCAAAGTCACGAAACTTGAAAGCAGATGCATCGAGCCTCATCTTTTGCAGAGTCTGAAAGCAATGCTGAAGAAACCACGCCGCTTGTTCTTTGGAATTTCTATGTCATGCCTGTCATGCTATATGCTGCTATGTCACGCAGCATCCTGCCATCGTGTCACATTACAGCACCATGCACAGCACCACACCGCACATTACGACATCCATCATCTCCTTAAAACATCCCGTACGCACAGTATGAACGCGTGTGATATCAGACCAGCGCACGACATCTTACGCAAAAGACTTCACACCAATACAGAAAGACCTCGAGTGGCAACATCACATGTTACGAAACACCATGGCACGTCGTATCATCTGTGACCGTGTCTGCATTTGTCTTGGAGTTGGTGGCATTTGCGCTCCAAAAGACAGGGCTTGTGGCTTCAGGATGGGCAGGATGGGCGTTTTTGGAGAGACAGCATCAAGCGCGGCTGTCCATGAGTCAATCAGCCGGCGAGGCGGATTCATGATGGATTTGGAACGATGTGCACGATCTGACAATGCAACTCCAAAGGCGTGGTTGTTGTTTTCTTTGGAGACGTGGAAAGTTTGGGTGAAGGGAGCCTCCTCTGAAGTGAAGTCATGGCCTTTATCACAGAAACGCTATCCGCCTGGGACTGGCCGTGAGGCAGTACCGCTTCCTGCAAGAGGCCCCTTGGCCCGCCAGCGCCGCGGACGTGCGCTGCGCAGCCCGGAACCCCGGCTGACCCCCTGCTAGTTGCTAGTTGCGATTTCGTGCCGTGGGTGTTTCCCCTTTGCCGGGGCCAACAAGACATATGGATACGTCAAAATCACGTAACCCTGCTTCTGATTGGTTTCCTTTTCCCGAAAGCATGGCGAAGGGTTCTTCCGCTGGGTTCACTTGAATTGTTCTCATGAGAGTCATTACAAGGTGTCATTGCAAGGAATCATCATCATGAAAGTCAATGCAAGGAGTCATTGCAAGGAGTCATTGCAAGGAGTCATTGCAAGGAGTCATTGCAAGGAGTCATTGCAAGGAGTCATTGCAAGGAGTCATTGCAAGGAGTCATTGCAAGGAGTCATGGCAAGGATTGCAACTTGCACTTGACTCCTTGCACTTGCAACTTGCACTTGACTCCTTGCACTTGCAACTTGACTCCATGCACTTGCAACTTGCACTTGACTCCATGCACTTGGCTCCTTGCACTTGGCTCCTTGCACTTGGCTCCTTGCACTTGCAACTTGCACTTAACTCCGTGCACTTGCGACTTGCACTTGACTCCATGCACTTGGCTCCTTGCAACTTGCAATGGCTCTCATGACTCCTTGCAATGACTCCTTGCAATGACTCCTTGCAATGACTCCTTGCAATGACTCCTTGCAATGACTCCTTGCAATGATGACTCCTTGCAATGACTCCTTGCAATGACTCCTTGCAATGACTCCTTGCAATGACTCCTTGCAATGACTCCTTGCAATGACTCCTTGCAATGACTCCTTGAAACAAGCAAGGAGTCAAGTGCAAGTTGCAAGTGCAAGGAGTCAAGTGCAATTGACTTGCGAGGAGTTAAAATCTCTTCTTAGGGCGGCGGGGTAGTGCCGACGACACTACACGAAAATCGCGCGACCCTCTGCGGGGATCGGCGTGGTCGAGGTGCAAAAACCCATGGTTTTTTGCGATTTCTAACCTGCTCGCGCGACCCTCTGCGGGGATCGGCGTGGTCGAGGTGCAAAAATCGGCGTGGTCGAGGTGCAAAAACTCAAGGTTTTTTGCGACTTTTGTTGTTCGAACTGGTCCTCGGGAGTTGTCTCGTGGTTCGCGCGCCTGCTCCCGGAACCGGCGGGTCGCGGGTTCGATTCCTCCCTGGTCCGCGGGCGGGCGTCGCAAGATGCAACTTGCATTTTACAGCAACTTGCGCAGAGCAACTTGCGCAGAGCAAGTTGCACAGAGCAACTTGCGCAGACCAACTTGCACCGACCAGTTTGCGCAGAGCGCCTTGCCTAGAGCAACTTGCGCAGAGCAACTTACGCAGAGCAACTTGCACAGAGCAACTTGCACAGAGCAGCTTGCACAGAGCAACTTGCAGGGAGCGCAATTTGCACAGAGCAACTTGCAGGGAGCCACTTGCAGGGACCAACTTGCCGGAGCAACTTGCGCGGAGCAACTTGCGCAGAGCAACTTGCACAGTGCAACTTGCGTAGAGCAACTTGCGCAGACCAACTTGCACCGACCAGTTTGCGCAGAGCACCTTGCCTGGTGCTGTCTCGCGCTTGCTTCACGAAGTGTAGGGAAAAAGAACGCATCCTGCAGCGTTGGGCCGACCTCGCTTGCGATGTTCTGCTTTCGGGCCAACCGTGGTCTAGTTGGTTTTTCCTTCAACCCCCCCCCTCCAAAACGGATACAGTACCCTAACAGTACCCTCACAAAACATCCACACCTCCACGGCAGAGCCTTTTCGACACAAGACCCTGGTGCACTTAAAGAGTAGTTGACCAATTGATTTTGAACACATTTCTTCGAAGTGTTTGCGTTTGTTTTGTTCTTCACTAGCCAGGTGCAAAGGAAGTTCACATCGGACAGCCGCCAGCATCAGGACGCTGCAAAGGGATGACCCAGTTGGTATTTTCGAGACCGATCTCCGTGGCCTCTCAGTGCCTTCTTCCAATTCCTTTTTGAACATATCGTGCTTTTTTGAGTCCTGAGGCCAGGAAGCACCAAGAGCCTGGCACCCATGTTTTCACTTTTTTTGGTGTGTGTGTGTGTGTGAGCTAGCATTCCGTGATTGTGTCTGTGTGTGTGTGTGTGGGTGCGTGTGCTTTGGCTGGAGGTCACGAGACAGTGCAACCGGCCCAAGCTAGCCATCAGGAGAATCGTTCGGCAGGTGCGGTCGCTGCGGCAGCACGCTGAAGCCTTGCGCTTGCGGCCCCAGGTCTTCGTGTGCATGGGCCATTCGGCAGGCCCGGAGATGGCTTCCAACAATTTCACCCAACGAGCCAGCCAATCAACCAACCAACCAGAAGGCTTCAACCAGGGTTGGCAAAGCCTGCTCCAGCTTCCAAGGCTGTGCGCACGAATGAGGTCTTAGCCGAAAGGGGGACTAAGAATTTCATATCGTATGCGAATGATAAACTTGAAATTGCGCAACGGGCAGCGGACAGGTGTCGAGGTTTCGCGAAGTGGGGACAGTCTTTGCAGAAGGGTTCTTCCAAAGCTTGAGACGGAGGAGGCCAGCTGGCGGCCTTGCTGGCGTCAAGGGAGCCCTTTCTGGATGGAGACCTGGCGACGCTCGACCCGATGGCATGTCTCTGCGCGGGAACGGGGGTGGTCTTAGGGCGCGCGGTTGGTGGAATTGTTTGTTACAGAAATGGAAGGGAAGAACCACTCTTTTCGGGCCCCCATCAGACATCAGACACACCCGAATGGAGTTACGCCGCACCCCGGGTTTAATTACCAGGTTTTACCATGTTTTCCCGAACCCCTAGCAACAATGGCCGCATTGGAGCCAGCGCTAAAAGTGAAAGGCAGGAGTGGTGGAGGTGGTTTTCACGGCTGGCGATGCTCACGGCCAAGTGGCAGAGGCTTTGCACGTTGAAGCTTTGTGTTTTCCCAACAATCACAGAATTTTGTGTAGGACAGAAGTGCGGGCAGTCACTGCAGACCTTTGTGTCTCATCATAGATATGGAGCAACTACAGCAAATCGCTTGCTGAAGACAGTGCTTCAAATTTCGGAGCATGCTTGAGAACACCTAGATGCCTGATTTTTTTGAATGCAGTTGCCAAATGACGCCACACATACTTCCCAAGCCAAGAGGATGTCCAGCAAAATTTATTCTGCCAGGATTTTGGTCACAAGGCTTCATGCCCATACACCGAAACAAATGCACACCGTGCACAGGCTAAAGGAGATACGTAGTTTGTTTGCCTGATATGTGTGTTTGGGAGCGCGTGAGCTTTGTTGAATGCGATAACATGGAGGCTCACAAGAGAGTCCCTGGAAAGTCCAAGATGACTCATACAGCCTTGGCAACGTGTTGCGATTAGCAGCATCATTCAGAAAAGCCGAGCAGTTAGGATTGTTAAGTTGTTCGACCTTGACATTTGAACCATGTTAGCTTGTCGCAGGGGGTCGATTTCAATTGGTGGGGTTCAGACCTGCATCTGAGGCATGTGTGCACTGCTAGCGCCAGCACTGTTCAGGGCATCATCTCGTACGCGGGAGCGCTGGAGGGTCCGCAGAACGCGACCCACGGCGCCGCGGTGAAACGGGGATGTGGAGAGCTGCAAGTCGGTAGGTGTCGGTAGATTAGTAGGTCGGTAGGTCGGGCAACAAAGGAATGTGATCATCTGTTTTAGGGACGTTGTTCACTCTCTTGAAGTCTTAGAAGACAACGCAGGACGGTGCTCCATTTCGAGAAATCCCCATGGTAATCATTGGTTTGCCGGAGGCCAGGTTTGAGCGAGGTGCCAAGCCGGGCAGAATTCTCTCAACAAGCTGGAGCTTTGGCCTTGGGCAATATTCGGGTTCCCTGATGCGAAGTCTAGAGACTAAATACTCCCTTTTGCAGGTGGTTTCCCATTGTGTGAATGGGATGATGAATTGGACAACTCGTCATTTTGAACAGCCCATATATCTTAATGGATGGCCATTGAATCCAATTTACCCAGAGCTTCCTTTTCCCCATCCCTCGACCCCCCTGGATTCAAGATGCCCTCTATCCAACAATGGAAGTGGACATGGTTGTGGAAGACCATCTCTTGAAAGGCTTTCTCGCGTTTTTCCATGGAAAGGTAAGGCTCCCTGCCGCGCTTAGACCCACTGGGTTCCCATGTGACTGGAACTCAAGGAATTTCCTTAGGGTTTCGGGGAACCGATGGGGATCCTCAGATAGCCGCAAGGGATGGTTCAGTTCGCGTCATTCCCTCCTTCCCTTATCGAATTAGCAATTCGGGCCAATGAATTTCAATCGCCTTCCCATGATGATTTCAATCGTTCCCACGTTGAGAGTTCCAATCTTCGAACCCCCAAATCGCATTCCCATGATCATTTCCGGATCTTCCCCAAACTGAGAGCTTCCAATTCCCATACGAATTGCGCGCATCAAATTTTTAGATGCCACGGTTGGCTTCGAGGCAACGTCCTGGCGCAGACTGGGCCCTGGCCCCCCGTCCTGGCACTGCACGGGCTGGCGGATCCCCTGCTGCAACCGCGGCTGGCGGAGGATAATTTTTAGGGCATCCCCCCGTGGTTTTCTCGCGTCCTCCGGTGGTTTCAGTGGGTTTCCCAAGAAACACGCGTTTTTGTTTGGGGGTTCAGTGGTTCTTCAAGGAAAACCCGGGCATTTTTGTATTTCACTTAGGTTCTTTTGAGGTTCTGGTGCATACATGAGATCAGTCTTTGCCACATCGACTCCTTTCAGGTTCGCTTCGAGATGCATGACGGCGTCTCACATTCAAAACACCTGACGTTGCAGCAGCTCGCTTATCACGCCATGTGTGGTGTCTAAGTATTTGAACACGGACTCTCGTCTCTCAGCTATCGATGTTGCATTTCAGACATTTATCGCGACCCTTTTGGGGTCATTCGAGTGCGGTCGGGGCCTCTCGCCTTTTGCAGGAATTCGTTGCTCTCCTTCGGCCGCTTGGTGTGGATGCGAAGCTCGTGCTGATGCCAGGCTGGAGGGCTTCGGTCGGCTCTCATGGCTCCTTTTGGAAAGCATCCTCCAACTAGGTCCCCCAGTAGTGTCCTTTTACCCTTTTTTGGGGAGGGCCCCTACTAAAACGGACTACAGAAAAAGGGTACCCTTATTCTAACCTCTCTACCTGAGGACCTAGCCAATGTGGACGTGGACATGCCCCCTTTCTAAAAGCGAGTAATTCGTTTTTCCACGGAGACTACTCTTCCTTGGCGTGAGCTGCAGCAAAAATACATGTTTATCATATGGCACATTTGGCGGGCAGTCACGTTGTTTTGAAACAAAACACAGTTTGTTGCTTGGGGGCATTCCCACGTAGGACGCATAGTGATACAGATAGAGAAATCCTGTTAATCAGTCGTTGACTTTGCTGCACATGTAGCACGACTTTGGCAGGACATTTGCGTAAGGAAACCAGCAGGGCTTTCAACTTCAAAGCATGAGCTCATGGTTTGTTTGTGCTGATTGTTTTTGTGGCCTTGAAGGGAGCAGACGAACTGCAACTCTGTTTGCCGAGTCAAAGTAAAGGCTGGGGCGGAACACTATTGCATGCATAGTCTTGTGTTTGCGCGCCTCGTGTTTGCTTCAATTTCCAACCGTCGAGGTTTGTGTCAGACGTATTGTTGGCGTGGCCCACATGCAGTGATTGCAATTGCACGGAGTTGCCGGCAAACAAGAGGTAACGGCATCTTCCCGGCAGGACCCCAGTTGAATATGGAGGGTGGCTTGTAGCTTCCCACCCAAGCTCATCGTGGACCAACCCAGAAGCAATCCTCAACCCAAACCCAAAGTGACACCAGCCCTGACCCCATCCGGAAAAACCTTAGACTCACTCTAAGTCGACACTAAACCAACCCGAAGTCGACGAACCACAAGCCCGTAAACTAGTCCTAAATCGGCCAACCTGTATCCAAAATCAGCCTTAAGTCGTGTCCAAGCCAACCGTAGACCACCCTTTAGCAAATCAAACAACACCTCCAGCCGGGAAAAGAAAGGAAATCATCCAAGGTGAACCAAGCTTTGGCGGGTCAATTGGCTCTGCATGATTTCCGGGACCCCCTCTCCCCGATTTCCAGGCCACGGACACGCGTTTCATCCGCGCCCGGATGCCATGGAAGCGATCCTAGATTTCCTGAAGCGTTTCCGCGCGTGATGGCGCGGGCAAAAGCGGCGAGGCTTGTGCTTTGCGCAGCATGCTGGCGGCTTCTTTTAATTTCCTTGTTTGGCTCAAGTTTAGTCAGCCTCACGATTCTGACCTTTGAGTCCTCACCTCACCATGAACCCATGCACTTGATTCTCAATACGTCACTGGGCTCAGGGAGTCTTGTGTGTGCTTTTGCGCCGGAGTGATTCGATACGCAACCCGTAGAAGCCGTTGATGGTGTTCAGCACATGTAGACTCATGTAGACCCCTAGACCCCTGGTCGGATCCTTCATTTTACAGGGCGCGCGCCAGCTTCATATGATCATATGACATTGATCCTTTGCCGACACGCGTCAGGGACTGTGGTTGCCTTATGAAGATCTAGATTCAGAGTATGTTTGGGTTTGGGCTGCTTGTAGAGAGGGCTTATAGTAGCTTCCCAATCATGCCCAAAGCCATGGAGTGGTTGGCTTGGCTGAACACGACGCCATTGAAGCGCTCACAGTCTTCCCGGTCACTTGCTTTACAACACATTTCACCACATTTTATGAATCTGAATTACATCTTCTAAGGAGAAAGGAGCTGCTTTACCCCCTTTACCCCCCAAAACATCCTAAAATGGTTCTTGAACCCAATGTGTCATAAGTAAGACTGCGTTTCACACCTGAACTGTCAGGAGGGCGCGGCGCCCTATGCTTCAAGCCGACACCGCCTCGCGGGCAACGGTCTGGAGGAGAGCGGCCAAAGGTGTGGGTTGGATCGTTGCAGAAGCTGGGTGGGCGGATCTTCCAATGAGCCCCAGCTTCAGCAAATGCGTCAAACCAGTTGCGTTTCCCTCGCAGAGGGCATATAAAGGGGGAGAAGAACGAGGGGCAATGCTTTGCCTGGCGCGGTTGGGGACAAAAACCAAGGGTATTATCAACTGTGCTTGTTCGCTGCATCATGCTGCATCCACCGTGAATGACATTTTGCAATTCTTGTCACACTGAGCACGAGCCACGTGCAGGAATCATTCTCAGTGACATAAGTAGGGGTTTTTAACAATGGTTGGGTTCCTCTTAGTTCCCCTTCAACACCACTCCCCAAAAAGGGTACTACCACCAAAGAACGATGAGCCACCCATATTAATTTCGTTTCAATATGCGCTGAGTGAATCTGCACATCATATTTATATAGAACTTTGGATGAATCCGTTGGTGTTAGGAGCGTGAGCGCCAGGAGCTCGAGGCCTTTGCGGACTTTGATGGTGTGGGCCCCGGCTTTGGTCGAATGCAGGAGTCTTGGTGTTTTGATGTTTGGATTCCGTCAGGGTCGTTTCGGGTACGGTTTCAACCGCTAGATCGACATGTGTTCAGCCTCCAAGGGGCACACCTATCGCTTCTCGAGGATAACACAAGCCATCGCACTCCTCTCCGTGCTTATCAGTAGGCGTGCTGCGAACGCAAGGGGACTCTGCGAGGGCAACAACGCTGAGAAAACTGATGCGGACCATTAAACGTTCGAGCCACAGGAGAACATGTTCAAGCAGAAAGGCTCCACATCTTCGGATGTCCCGAGGGCCACATGCAATGCTTCCGAATCGCAGTTACCAATATCCATGGGTGTGGGTCAAAATTAAGCCACCAGGGGACTGCCTGTTTTAGTCATGGGTTCCATTTACCAGGGTTCCATTTTGGGTAATTACCCATTTTTGGGAAGACGCTTCATTTTGGAACGCACTTAGCCTCAATTTGGAACGCGCTCGTCTCGGGGCTGACGTCTTCGGCTCCGAGAGACAGCCTTGTCTCAGGGCTGACGTCTTCGGCTCCGAGAGACAGCCTCGTCGCGGGGCTGACGTCTTCGGCTCCGCTCCATGTCTGAGACCTCTGTGCGGCTCCTGCGAGACCTCTGCGAGACCTCTGCAAGACCTCTTCGGGACCTCCCCTTCCCTCTGTTCTGCCTCCCCGCATCATCGGTCTCTCATAAGCTGGTCATTGGACCATGCCCCTGGCAGCCCTGCTAGCTCTGTGCGCCCAAGCCCGGCTTGGGCGGGCATGGCTCCAATAACCAGATCATGAGAGCGAATGATGATGCGGGGAGGCAGAGCGGAGGAAGGGGAGAGGTCTCACGGAGCTCGCGGATCTCGCAGAGGCCTTGCACAGGTCTTGCAGAGGTCTCGCAAAGGTCTAGCAGGAGCAACGCGGATGTCCAGAAGTGATGTGTGGCTTCCCTTTGCACCCGTGACACGAGCGCATAGGGATGCCAGCCAATTGCCGAGCTTTGAGCCTCTTGCTGGGAAAGCTGTTTCTGATGTCATGATGGTCTTGCAGAGGTCTCGAAGAGGTCCCGCAGGAGCCATGCAGAGGTCCCATGGCTTCAACGATCAGCTTATGAGAGTGAAAGACGGTGAAGGAGGCGGAACGGAGGGAAGGGGAGGGCTTCTTGCCGAGGTCTCGTGGAGCTCTCTTGCAGAGCTCTTGCAGATGTCCAGTCATTCCTTTGGCGCCCGTAGACGCCAACAGCTTGGCAATGGCTGACATCTCTAAGCTTCGTGAATGAACAACCCACCTTAAAGCAGCCCTAAGCCAACGCTGAATGCGGCTTAAACCTAAATGGGCCCTAAACATCCTAAGCCCCAAGCAGCTCTCGCGGTTCTCTCGCGCCAGCTCCAGCCCGACGGAAGCCATGCCAACCAAGCCTAAACCAGCCCTGAGCACAGACTAAATCAACCCTAAAATCACCTTAAACTCCAATTTTTTAGCTAGCCGTAAAACAACCCTAGACCAACCCTAAGCCCTGGCGACACTGGAAGCAGCAGCGCACCAGCAGCTGCACCATGGCAAAGATGTGCACGACAAGGTGTACTTGGCAGGCCTCCGTAACTCAATGAACGAGATGCAAGAGCACTTGTTCGGCTGGTAGTCACGGTCAATCGAGCACTGGGCAATGGGCTACAAAAAGATGCGTGGCAAGTTTGGCAGTCAGTGGGCGTTCTGAACACATGTCCAGAAACTGCTTCACTGGCTTGGCAGTCAGTGGGCTTGACTTCACGCGGTCTGTCTGAGGCCCGTCCTTCCTACGTCTATAACAAATACTTGCCAAGAAGTATGACAGACGTGCGTGTGTGAATATACATCTGCATAGATATAAGATTGCATTCGTACACATTAAGTCAACACACACATACACATAGATATTTAGATGTATGATGGGCAGGATTGTATGAACTGGCAATATATAAAAAGTATGAACCTCCAGTCAATAGAAAAAAGTAAGCCCACCCTAAACCCACCTGAACCAACCCTAAACCAACCCCAAACCAACCCCAAACCAGCCCTAAACCAGCCCTAAGCCCACCTTAAACCAACCCTAGAACCCACCAAAACCCGCCCTACCCTAAACCAACGCAACTCTGAACCCACCCTAAACCCACACTAAACCAACCCTAAACCCACCCTAAACCCACACTAAACCAACCCTAAACCCACCCTAAACCAACCCTAAGCCAGCTGCAAGTGAGCCGTAAGCATCCCTAAGAGCTCTCGCGCAAGACCGGCCCCGCCAGCGCAAGCCAACGCTGAATGCAGCTTAAACCCCCTAAATGGGCCCTAAAAATCTGTAAGCCAACCCTACAACCCCAACCCAACCCCAAGGAGCTCTCGCGCTGCTCTTGCGCCAGCCAAGCCTAAACCAGAGCACTACCTTAAACCAACCGTAAACCCAACCAACCCACCTTAAACCAACCCTAAACACCACCAAAACCTACCCTGAACTCACCCTAAGCCAACCCTAAGCCAACCCTCAACCAACCCTAAACCCACCCGAACCAACCAGCTTTAAACCAACCCAAGACCAACTCTAAACGCACCTTAAACCAACCCTAAACCAACCCTAAACCAACCCGAAACCCGCCTTAAACCCAGCCTAAACCAACCCTAAACCAACCCCAAACCCCTAAACCAACCCAGCGTTAAACCTGACCTAAGCCAACCCTAAGTCAGCCTAAGCCACCCTAAACCCACCCTAAACCAACCCTAAACCAACCTTAAACTCACCCTAAACAAACCATAAACCCATTCTAAACCCACCCTAAATCAATCTTAAACCCACCCAAGTGAGCCGTAAGCATCCCCAAGCCTAGAGATCACCCAACCCATTGCCAGCCCTAAGCCAACGCTGGATGGAGGTGCCTCCCTGTTTCTGAGCACAGCCCCATGCTAGGTAATTTAATCATTCGGCCATGGTTCATCGCTCGCAAGCTCGAAGGTTACTTTGCACCTTCTTCTGATGAGCAGCCGCCGGATGAGGCTGGCGATGTCTAAGTGAGGGTTTGCTGCGGCGTGGGGCTTTCTGTCTGTGGGGACCTGTCGATTACCTAGAGCCCTTGGATTTTGTATGCAAAATCCACCAAACGGAGGTAAGTACGAGTCTTGGAACATTCCCTCATGTCTCAAGTGAGGTGCTGATTGTTCAGAACGGAATTCTGGGGGTTAACTATTTTCCCCTCAGGGGTGCGTGCGTGCATGCGTGCGTGCGTGCATGTGTGTGTGTGTGTGCGTTTGTGCGTGTGTGGGGTTGGTTTGTGGTGGTTGGCTGGCTGGCCACCCTAGGGTTGATAGGGGGGCCTAGAAGCCAAGCTCACTCACTTGGATCTCCTCGCGGGCAGATAGGGTAAATGTTGGGCTTGTGGTTTGGAGTCATTCAGCTGTGCTCCGCACCCAGCATGCTTGCTCCGGTACCAGTGTGGATACTCTTTCAGCTTGTGCGATTGTGTCGTTGGATGCTTGCGACCAAATTCTTTCCCGGCCTTCCTTGTGCTGCGTTGATGTGTTGTTGCACATATTATATATGCGTGTTGTGTCGATACTGTTTTTGAGGAAGGTTCTGGACCTTGACATGACTCGCAAGGTGGGATATCCAGAAACATAAAGGGCCTGTTTTTGGCCTCTCCAGTCATTTGAGGGCTGTTCTGAATCTAAATCCAATGCTTTGAAGATAAGTCTGAGGTAGTCTTGTGCGATTGACACATTGGGATTTGAG